CACCACACACACACCCCCCACCACGCACACACACACACCCCACACACACACACCCCACCACACACACCCCACCACACACACAAACACACACACCACCACACACACACACCCCACCCCACCACACACCCCACCACACACACACCCCACCCCACACACACACACACACCCACACAATTCCTCATCACACACACCTACCTCCCGTCACTACACACATCTCCCTCCTCACCACACACACCTCCCTCCCTCCCTCCCTCCCTCACCACACACTTCTCAACCTTTATAATCAGTTCGTGTATCCAATTTAAACAAACAAACACAAATGTATGTATCATATTCTCACCAATACGAATAAATCTCTTTAATCCCCGCAATAGGATTAACTTGAGCGTGGATGGCCAAACCGGATTTAGCAACGCATCCAAATAAACACATACACACAACCATAAAATACACATCCATACACATTCTTTAACAGAAGCACACGTATATAAGCGCGCACACGCACACACACACACACACACACACTTCCTCAGTGACCGACGCCAAGCTGTACGCTTCCGAGGGGCTGTCTCCACCTTTCAGTCACTCACCTGTGGCGTCCCCCAAGGCACCAAGATGGGACCACTCTGCTTCCTTATGCTCAACAATGATGCCCTAAGAGAAACCCCTGCTCGCTGGAAATATGTCGACGACTCCACCATTGGGATCAGCGTCAACAATTCTGCTCCCAACTATACCGCCCTTCAGGATTTATTGAACAGTCTCCAAAACTGGGCCACCAACAACCATGTCACCATCAACCATACCAAGACCATGGTTATGCACATCAACCTCTCCTCCGACATTGTCCCACCTCCTTCCATTACCCTAGGTCCGAACACACTCCAGGTTGTAGATTCCACGAAGCTCCTCGGCGTCACCATAAACAACAAACTAAATTGGAAACCACACGTCAGTGAAGTTGTCAAAGCCTCCAGTTTCCGTCTCCACCTCCTCCGCCGACTCAAGTCCCTCGGAGTTCCTGCACACGAGCTCCTCAGTGTATACACAACATTCATACTTCCCAAGCTCACCTATGCCTCCCCCACCTGGTCTTCCTCCCTAAATGCCACACAACGTAAACACCTAGAAAAAGTGCAAAAGAGGGCATGCAAGATTATTCTCTCCCCTTCCTACTCCACATATCAAGAAGCGCTCAACACACTGACCCTTTCGACTCTCACTGACCATCACCACGGCCTCATCTGCAAATTTGGTAAGAAGCTTCTACACCACCCCCGACACCGGCCCCTACTACCACCTGAGATCCCCTGCCCGAGAATTGCTGTTCGACACCACAACCGCATCCAGCCCATACGTGCACGAACTGATCGCTATAAGAACAGCCCAGTCCCAACCATTGTAAAAATTATCAATAACATGTAATAAATCAGTGTATTCACTCCCAGTAAACACTGCTCCCTACACTGTCACTATGTTGAAATGAACTGTAGTTTGAGCTGATCCCCATCTAAGTTATTATATGTCTTATTTGTGTCACTTATATATTATTTGTAACTCGTAACCCATTCCCCAAATATGTAACTGTATATTTTCAGCCTTCTGGCTGCCAAGCTCTTTCAATAAACCGTTAATTATTATTATTTACTCTCTCTCTCTCTCTCTCTCTCTAAGGTGTGCGTAGGTGTAGTGAAGCTTCCACTCGACCTACCCTGGCAGTAAGAGAACACTTGTACAGCAACAGGTGTGCGCCACATGTACACTCTGCCTCTACACCTCCCCTTCCACCTCACAGTACAGTATTGCTGATCCTGTCATCTGTATAAGACTGCATTAAGAGTAAAACTATTTTCCTCCCACTAATTCATTACGGAAATTATTGTTAAATATTAACAGTGGAAACATTATTGGAATATTATATTTCTCTCCCATGTGGTCAGCTCAAGGGGTTCAGCAAAGGTGTGGGTTAATTAGTACAGGTTGACTATAGGTAAACTCAGGGGCCCAGCACGAGCACAGGTAATTAAATATATACCTTTACTATAGGTTGACAGGTGAACTCGGGTACAAACAGCTTTCAAACTTCTGATACACACACTAGTAACTCCTCACACCGCGATACACCACTACAAATATACGTCACCTCTGAGCATTAGTATGTCCTTCACACCTGCACAAGGGTCGGCTGGCAGTTGGGCACGAACCACACACTTGAACCACTTAACGCGGTTCATTTACCTCTTCACTTGAGAGCGCAGTATAACAGACTAAGAATAATTTCAACCGACTTAAAGTGGAAAAAAATAATTACCCAAACCTCTTTTTGAAACATAAATGGTCAACTTATTCGCTTAAAGATAAAATATGTATATCATGTATACTTATTCATATACACAGGAGCTTCATTTCATTAGATTGGTGACGGTAGGTATAAACACGGTAAAGAGCACTACATATTCACAGTGTGGATAACGCTTACTAGCCTATATACCCTCTCACAGTGTAAACAAACACACCACTCGCCTCTCTCCCGCCAGCCACACAGGTGATGGATATTGGAACAAATTTAAGCTGTAGTAGAGCATGTCGAGAGCGTTATGACCACGTGTATGGCAGGGACGAGGTGTAGGTGTGTGTGTGTGTGTGTGTAATTATACAAAAAAATAAAAGAGGACATATAAACTGTGATAGAGAAAGATGAAAGAGAAAGAGGAGAGAGAAAGGGGAAGAGGAAGAGAGAAAGGGGAAGAGGAAGAGAGAAAGAGGAAGAGAAAGAGGAGAGAAGAAAAATAAGAGGGGAGGGGTGAGAAAGAAAAGAGTAAAAATGGAAGGTGAGAGAATCAGAAATGAAGAGAAAAACGAGGAGGAGGTAGTTAAACCCAGGCGGCGGTCAGTGTGGTCAGCTTGGAGTGTCAACTTTACTGGTGACCTATGTGACTCATAATTACCTCAAGCTTGTGGCCTCTCGAGGTTCACCCAATCAAGGCTCAGTTTCACCAAGCTAAAAAAATAAAAAAATAAATAAAAAACTGACGCATCGGCAAGGTAAATATCCAACTAGTAACTTTTGTAAATTAATGTAGTCACCGCTGAAGACTCTCGTGTCATCGTTTTCTTTAATCTCTGAAATACCCCATGTCCTTAGTGCCCGAACCGTTACCATGGCAACACTTAGTTTATTTTGGCTCCATTTGTACCAAATGTTTACCAAATGATCCTTGTCACAAGTTGATCAAACCAACCAACCACCCACCACCACCCCACACAGACAGACACACCACAGCTGTGGCGTTCAATCCGCCATCATGAGGGCCACTCGAGGCTCCTATACAAAGTTTGGAGGGATGATTTAGTGTAATCTATTTTCAGTATTACGAGCATCGCCAGCACTGTTGGTGTTTTTGACGACACGTTATACAAATTTATCCACACTGACTTAAGATTTTCGTGGCAACCGCGTCAATGTTTATATATTACTACATGAACAATGTCCTCGCTTGTGGTAGACCTCACACAACAGCAACTGAGGACAACGTTGCCGTTGTTAGGTTACGTTACGTAAAGTTAGGTTAGGTTGTTAGGTCAGGTTATGTTAGGTTCCTACCTGAACGTAGCGTCACCTGTATTATTGTGGGTATAACCGACCAAAACATTTCCCACAACTGTAAAACAGCTTCAAAATGCCCAATCCACTTGTCGCATTTGTCAAACATGTACAACAGATGGATTAATGTCCGTTTGCCAAGCCACCAAGTGACAAATTTACTGAGTTTATAATTATCAAGATAATTGACCAGACTAGGAACAACAGTATAACTGCGTTGTCTATACACTATGCTGAACCAACTGAACACTCGCATGACGATTTTATTTAATAAATATGTATGTATGTATATCAATCTATCTATGTACATGATGTGAACACGTATACAGCAGTGTGTGTGTGTGTGTGAGTATAATGCAAATAACTGTCAAAAGTAGGATACAATGAGCCAGGATATTTGGAGAAGTTGCAGGGGTCCACACTGTCAGATATGTGTTTAGAGAGTCAGAGAGGGAGCACCATGACTCACTCGCTCTTAAGCTCAAGCTAGTATACCTGTAGTTGACCCAACGACACAAAGAACCACGTCAGTCCCATGTCATACTGTCAGTCCTCCATTGGTCGCTTACTACCCAAATCCTCGTCCCTCACAATTCTTCATCGTCAGCGATATTGTGGTCTTTGTTCCTACCCACGTGCGGTGATAAGGGGAGGGAGGAGAGGCCAGAGTGATGCGAGAGAGGAGAGGGCAGGGGTGGAGTAGAAGGGGGCGGGGCTGCTGACCGATGTTGACCTCTCCACCACGTTCAGTATTAAAGTAAAGCCTTTACGACAACACAAGGAATGTACGACGTACAATAAAAATTATCGCGTAGAAGGCATAATTGTTATTCAAGGGCGATAAAGTCATTCCGCCCAGATATCTTAAAAGGATAAAGAAAGACAGGAAAGAGCAAAAACGACAATAAGCGCGTGGATTGCCCGAGTCAGGAGTAGTGGTGGGGGCGGCAGCCAAGGTCAGGACGGTAGATCAGTCCCGAGGACAGTGGCAACAAGCATGCACACAGCATACCACCCCAGTGTTTCCCTCTCATCCGTGATGACCTAACACACACAGACACACACAATCAACATCATGTTGAGATAGACAGATAATACAAACAACTGAGCACCTTACTGGGGACGTGAGTGGACCAACACTTACACTTGAGGAAGCAGTCACTACGCACGCACATAAACGCGCACGCACACACGCGCACGCACACAGAGAGAGTTACCTCACTATGGGTGGAGGTTGTGGTGAGGTCCGCCTTTGCCAACTCCAATGACCACGCCCACCTGCCCGTGCCCACACATTCATTTCCAGGTAGGCAACAGGGTATCAAGTCAGCCATATTGCATTGTAGTTTTCACCACAACTTGTACTCATCAACCACATCTTGTAGTCATCACTTAGCTGTACAGTGACCATCTACCTGTACAGTGACCATCTACCCGTACACTGACTTGTACCGAGAGGATGGAGGAGAGAGGACAGGACAACCTTACCTCGAGTGCTGGTGGCGGCGTCAGCAATCTTCTGGAAGGCGTCAAGGAAGGTGGAGAGGGCCACCAGGGTCGCTCTGAAACACACACACACAGATTAGCCAAATGACAGTAGACAGGTGTGGGTGTGGCAGGTAATACTTGGGTAAGACTCCGTCACTTAAGTTTACCTTTTTAAACCCAATCTAATCTAAGCAAACTCAACTAACCCAAACTAGCCTAACTCAACCATACCTAACTTAGCCATATCCAAGTTCAAGTAAGGAGCTATAGTTGTTTGTACTCGAGGGACCACACCTTCCCTTAATTACAATCTACCTGCACGCAGTCCTACTACTTTGCAGTCACTCGGAATCGTGTATGACGATCATCCAGCAATGACACAAAGAAATGGCACCTTCGTTGGTTTTGAGGTGGCTCGATGGGCCGATAAAGGACCGACATTCGTCCGCAAATGTTGCACGAGTGGAGAGCTATATCTAGTGCAGGAGGAGCGGCAGCAGAGTCTTTCCGGCGCTGGTGATTGTACGCCTCAGTCAAGCTCGAGTGCATAAGGAATGGAGGGATCGTCTCCCAGATGAGGGGGTCAATTTGGCACTTTTTCAGGTTTGTCTTAAGACGACCCCTTTCCCTTTTCCGTTGCCCACCAGCATTACATTTACCATTCTTTAGGTGACAGAAGAGTAGATGTTTTGGCAGTCTACTGTCGTCCATGTGGGTAACATGGCCAGTCCAATGTAGTTGTTCAGGGAAAATGGTAACCTCGGTGCTCCTACAATTGGTGTCAACGAGAATACTGGTATTTGTTCTCTTGTCTTCCCAGCCAACTGGGAGGACGGAACATACACCTTGAGGTGCCTCCTGTATGTAACCCATGTCTCGCTGCCATACACTAAATTTAATGTGTGGCCAGACATATGGCCACACACACTCTAACATTACGTCTTAGATTGTGAAAATAAAACTTTTAGGGACAGGTCCAAGAACTCTTTCTTTGATGTTAAGATAAAAAAAGTGTATTCACAAAGTAGGTACTGTATGTCAATTCATATGTGCAGAACTAAACACACTTCATAAAAAAACACTCAACCACTGCAACATCCTGACAGCTGGGATCTGATAAAAACTCTTGTGTCCTCTACTCTGTAATCCTTTATGTGTTACCGCTTACTGGATATGTATGGGGTGCACAGTAAACTAGCCTCTGCACCTCACGCACGCACACACACAGTGAGAGAGAGATCATCCTTATTGTGCGCTCATGGAACAAATGATGGAGAGGGGGAAAAAAGAAGGAAGGTGGGGAGGAGGAGGAAGAAAAGAAGGAAGAAATGGAGGAGAAGAAATAAAAGGAGGCAAAAGAAGGAAGGAGAGAAAGTGCACAGGTAGAGAGAGAAAGTCAGATGAACAACGAACAAGGTGAAGGAGAGAGAGAGAAAACAAGTGAAAGGAGAGAAAGAACAAGAAAAGGAAGAGAAAAAAGTAGAGAGAACAAGAGAAAGTAGCGAGAACAAGAGAAAGTAGAGAGAACAAGAGAAAGTAGAGAGAACAAGAGAAAGTAGAGAGAACAAGAAAATAAGAGAACCGGAGAGAGAGGTGATGAGAAAGGAAGAATAAGGGTGAGAAAGGAGAGTGAAAGGTAAAAAAAATTTTTTTGGGAGAAAATCGAGAACAAAAAAGTGAAAAAGAACAAGAGAAATGAAGAGAAGAAAGAAAAGGGAAAAAAACAAAGAAAAAGAAAAGGAGAAAGAATAAGAAAGGAGACAAAAGCAAAAAAAATAGAGGATATAGAAAAGGAGGAGGGAGGAGGAGGGAGGAGGAGGACAGGAGAAAATGAGAGGAGGCTAGGATCCCCGCCAAGCACAGTGATCACACAAGACTCTCCCTCCCTCACTCTCCCACTTCCTTCACTCTCACTATTCTCACCCTCCTCCTCCTCACTCTTCCCACCCCCTCATTCTCATTCTTCCTCACCTCCATCACTCTTCTCTAACCTCCTCCTCCTCCTCCATCACTCTCACAATCCCTCCCTCCTTTCCTTCCTTTCACTCTATTCTCTTCCCTCGCCTCGACCACTTCCTCTTCCACACCTCATTCACTTTTAAAATCACCAGCTGTGGGGTTTAATCTTCAGGTGAAATAAGCTGGGTGGGTTTAATCTTCAGGTGGCTGGTGGGGTTTAATCTTCAGGTGAAATAAGCTGGTGGGGTTTAATCTTCAGGTGAAATAGCTGGTGGGGTTTAATCTTCAGGTGAAATAAGCTGGTGGGGTTTAATCTTCAGGTGAAATAAGCTGGTGGGTTTACTCTTCAGGTGCATTTAATCTTCGGTGGGGTAATCAGTGAAAGCTGTGGTTAATCTCAGACTGGTGGGTTTAATCTTCAGGTGCTCTTATTTTCTTTAAATGGATATGCGAGAACCCATTCGACAAGTTACAGGAGTTCTAAAGATGTTCAACGTGATGCTATAATGCTATATATGGCTCGTGTGTGCGCGCGATGACGCGTAAATATACCAAGTGCCCGCCAACCCATGCTAATCACGTAAAACGCGTGCTATCAACCAACAGATCGTCGTAGTCAAGTTAGTAATCCTAAGAGACCGTACACAAGAAGGACGTCATCTGGAGGAGTTCGCGTCCAGATGAGCGCCGCGCCGCTTGGGGTTACGTTACTCTCTATTACACACGAGTAGAGTTTTTGGACGCGTTGTTGGGCAGGTTGTACAAAGCGGCAAACATAATTAATGTGTTCACAATACGAATGTAAACATTAGTGAACATTAAACTTGTAAGAGTAGGATTCATAACGCAGGTGTAACGAAGCAACACCTCACACAACACCTAGGGGTAAAAGTACTGCTATTATTATATCAGGATCATGGCATTTGGGCGGTAACATTTTTCTTAAGACTAATACAGTATAATTGCCCGTGAAGGTCCTCCTCTTCACACCTCAACAATACATAATGAGCTGGGTGGTAGGCGGCCCTCCAGGTGTCCCCCATGATGAATATCTCCCCATGAAATTCCTATTTGACTTTACCAAAGGCTGTGACGTATTAGTGGTTCTGGATTCTATGTTATTTATGAAGCTTTCTGGCACTGATGTATGGAGAAATACTAATGTATGAAGGAAGATAACACTGGTACTAATGTATGAAGATAACACTGGTACTAATGTATGAAACACCAAAAGAGAACACTGGTACTAATGTATGAAGAGAACACTGGTACTAATGTATGAAGAGAACACTGGTACTAATGTAGGAAGATAACACTGGTACTAATATATGAAGAGAACACTGAACTAATATATGAAGAGAACACTGGTACTAATGTATGAAGATAACACTGGTACTAATGTATGAAGAGAACACTGGTACTAATGTATGAAGAGAACACTGGTACTAATGTATGAAGAGAACACTGGTACTAATATATGAAGAGAACACTGGTACTAATATATGAAGAGAAACACTGATGTATGAAGAAACACTGGTACTAATATGAAGAGAACTGAAACACGGTACTAGTATGAAGATAACACTGGGTACTAATGTATGAAGAGAACACTGGTACTAATGTATGAAGAGAAACACTAGTACTAATGTATGAAGATAACACTGGTACTAATATGAAGAGAACACTGGTACTAAATAAATAAAGTACAATATGAAAAACTGTATATATGAAGAAACACTGGTACTACGTATGAAGAGAACACGGTACAATAGAAAACACTGGTATTAATGTATGAAGAAGATAACATCACTAATGTATGAGGAAACACTGGATAATGATGAAGAGAACACTGGTACTAATGTATGAAGATAACACTGGTACTAATGTATGAAGAGAACACTGGTACTAATGTATGGAAGATAACACTGGTACTAATATATGAAGAGAACACTGGTACTAATATAGGAAGAGAACACTGGTACTATGTATGAAGATAACACTGGTACTAATATATGAAGAGAACACTGGTACTAATATATGAAGAGAGAACACTGGTACTAATGTATGAAGAGAACACTGGTACTAATGGTGAAGAGAACACTGGTACTAATGTATGAAGATAACACTGGTACCAATGTATAAATAACACTGGTACTAAAGAGAGAACACTGGTACTAATGTATGAAGATAACACTGGTACTAATGTATGAGAAGAACACTGGTACTAATGTATGAAGAAACACTGGTACTAATGTATGAAGATAACACTGATAAAACGGATAATGAGAAGAAAAGGTACCGTATGAAGATAACACTGGTACTAATGTATGGATAACACTGGTACTAATGTATGAAGAGAACACTGGTACTAATGTATGAGAAGAACACTGGTACTAATGTATGAAGAGAACACTGGTACTAATGTATGAAGATAACACTGGTACTAATGTAGAAGAGAACACTGGTACTAATGGTGAAGAGAACATGAGACTAATGTGAAGAAGAAAACACTGGTACTAATGTATGAAGAGAACACTGGTACTAATGTAAGGAAGATAACACTGGTACTAATGTATGAAGATAACACTGGTACTAATGATGAAAATGTACTAATGTATGGAAGATAACACTGGTACTAATGTATGAAGATAACACTGGTACTAATGTAGAAGAGAACACTGGGACTAATGTATGAAGAGAACACTGGGACTAATGTATGAAGAGAACACTGGTACTAATGTATGAAGAGAACACTGGCACTATGTATGAAGATAACACTGGTACTAATGTATGAAGATAACACGGTACTAATGTATGAAGAGAACACTGGGACTAATGTATGAAGAGAACACTGGGACTAATATGAAGAAGAACACTTGCACTAATGTATGAAGAGAACACTGGTACTAATGTATAAGAGAACATGGTACAATAAGATAACACTGGTACTAATGTATGGAAGATAACACTGGTACTAATGTATGAAGATAACACTGGTACTAATGTATGAAAATAACACTGGTACTAATGATAAAGAGAACACTGGTACTAATGTATGAGAAGAACACTGGTACTAATGTATGAAGAGAACACTGGTACTAATGTATGAAGATAA